CCGTGGTGCTGACGCAGCCCCCGGGGCCGCCCCGCGCTGCCTCGCGGCACTGTAGGCTCGGCTGCGAAATCAGCAATTAGCCCTCATTAGCTGGCCTGTTGTAGCTAACGACTTGAACGCTTAAAGATGTTTTTGGAAAAACAGAGTACTTGAGCTTAAAGCCGTCCCAGCTTTCAATGTGATGTCTAACGCCTGCCTGCATGCTCTGGTCTCCAATCTAAGTGCGTTTGCTCTCACCCTAGGATTAAGTTAGGAGTGTGGTTACGCACATTCTTTGTACTTCCTCTAGCATTTTCATAGTTTGAAGATCCAGCCTTTTACATTTTGCAGGCTGTAAGGTCAAATAATGCAATTAATGTACCCACAAACATCCAAGCGAGAAAGGCACATCTTGAATGTGTGCCCTGATTACAAAGGAACTATAGGAAGGTTTTCTTTTTTCCCAGGCTTTCCATCAAACCTCAGACTAGGAACTTTAGGTTAACAGCCATGTAGAGTGGCAGCCCTGGATCCATTCACTGTTATTATACTCTATAACATGTACATACAAACCTTATGTGATATCTGTGTCAGGGAATTCCTGATAGTATTAATAATGAAAATGGCTTCTCTGTCCAGTTCACGGGCAGAGTGCATGAAAGATTATCAGCTATACTGTCACGGGGAACCTGTTAAACCTCTGAAGATTGTTCACGGTTCAGAAGCACCAAGCAGCAGTAAGATTGACTTGGGAAGTTTGTTTTGCACAGAAATTAATGCCTCAGAACCCTCAACCATCATTCTTCTCACCCTGTACATTTTTCCTTTTATGATTAAGGTGACCTTTTGCATTCAGAAAAACAAACCAACTAACCAAAAGCTAGTGAATTAAGGGAACTTCCCTAAATCTCTAATTCCAGCTCCACTGGAGTGGAGGGTTTTCTTTTTAATTTCTTCTGGCTTTGTTTTTAAAATTACCTGCTGTGTTCAAAGTTTACTTTTCATTGACTTTATAATCCATTCCTTCTTTACATGAGTTTCATCAATAAAAACATGTTTATTTTATGGGACATTTTATTTAAATAAGTTTTGCTAGTCCTGTGACCTGGCCAGAACAGGACAGTTTCAATGGCAAGGAAGGAAGACACATACAACATAAATATGAATTGCATTTTTATATGGGCTAAATATAATTAAATATATCACCTCAGGGATGAAATGAACTCCTGGGATGCCCCATGTCTTCTGCATGAATTTTGAATGAAATATATTTACAGAGGAGAAATGCCACTCCTATTATCCAGTCCTTTTCTCTGGAAGAGTCCGCTGGAATGTGGGATGAGCAGACTCCAAGAGACACCAGCAATTCTCTTCTGACTGCATCTTCGATGAAGATGTATCAAGCCCCCAGACATTACCAAGTTTAGCAGCAATTAACATAGAAAAGAAAGCTTCACAGAGGCCAAGAAGTAATCTCACTCTTGCTCCAAGTGCCATCTTGGTTGGTGATTTCAATATGAAAGAAGGGTTTTAAGCTCTACTATCCCAGGGAAATAGCAATAATTCTTAGATCTTTGCAAATTATGTAGGGAAGGTGGAAGAGGAGGGAAAATGTCAGTGATGTAAAATGACACTAAGCTATTGCTCTAATTCCCCAAAGAATGTTCTCGGGCTTTAGCCTCTGCTGCTGTTTCTCCACTTATTCTGCATGTTCAGTACCAGCTTCCTCCAGGCTGCAGAAGTATCCGATTAAGCTTTTTATTAGGAACACATGTTGTAGGCAGGTGTGTTCAGTCAGCCTGTCAGACAGCCTGGGAACGCACATGCTGCCGAACAAAAGAGGATAGAGCTGGGATGGCCCAAGCATTCTGCAGGTAAATCAGCAGAGCAGGAAAGACAGGGAGAGACAAGTGTGCCCAAAGGGAATGAGGAAAACATAAGTCTGTACATCTCTCTGCCTCTTAGTCATCTGAAGTTAACTTTTTAATAGTGAGTTGAAAAGTGTTCATAAAACAGCAGTATTGAACAAAAAGTGCTGGAGCCAGAAAGACTGAATTATAGCAAGATCTACAGAAAGGAATCAGCTGGCTGTGAGTGTCCAAAATACATGAAGGATGGGAAGGCAAATTTTAGGAGGTGTTACTGTTGCTTGTGTAAAATCTTAGCTTTAGTCTACATCTGTCCTAGTGAAGATTCTGGGCTCCTCAACTCTTCTCTCAATAGCAAAACTTGCCATTGGTTTTTCCACCACAGAGAATATGTGCAGAGTCTCCTCCTTCAGGTTTCACTTCTAATCGGAGCTAATGAAGTGTGTATGCTCACATCAGTGTGAGGGGGGGGAAAATGGACAGATCTCTGCTACAAGAAAGCAAAAAGCCAGCTTGTGAAAGAGCTATTGTGACCAGATCAGCAAAAAGAGGCAAAGTCCTTTGATTCCCTGACCTTCTTTACTCTTTGGATGCAATTACGACCACTGAAAATCTAGCTTCTGCCAACAGCAAAGCATCTCTTGCGCGTTGCTTCTCACATAACATCTGCTGTCAAGGCTTGCTTTGCTGCCTTCCTGGGAACCTTCCAACCTGTCAGTCTGAGTGAAAACAGCAGACAGGCAGGCAATGAGTTCTCTCGGTTGGGAAGACATTTCCAATTTCCATCCCATTCAATGGAGCCTCAGGAAAAGCCTAACCCTCCCCACTCCCAGAACTACCATATGGACAGCCCAGAGCTATGCCAGGTATTTCAGAACTAGAAATCACTCCTCTCCCTGTTGGCTGGCAAGTTGGGGAGATGCAAGATGAATCCTTGCTAAGCAGATTTCTTTTTTTGACAAACTAGTTGCTGTTGCATTTCCTAATTGGATTGGTAGGATTAGATTTACAGTGACATTTCTATACCAGTATAGACTTTGAGATGTTGTTACAATAAGCTTTTTCCTCCAACACGATCTGTGCTAAAGCATTGAGAAAGATTTTCATACTGGGCCCTAAAGCTACTTGTATCATGCATGGTGACTGATATGCCTGAATCTGATCGCATTCCAGATTAAAGGAGTTGCTTCTGCCTTCAAGGAGTACAGACAAGCTCTGAGCTAAAACAGACTGAGACCTTATGTATCTCTTCAAATGTATGCCCAGGAGCAGGATAATATAGTCAGCAGGAGTCAAGATGACAGCCAACACTGTGCTCGCCATATGGGTTCAGGTTTGCTTTCCCTCTCCTTTGGCATGCAAGATCCAATCCAGTGCGCCTTACCCCAAGTACACAATACGGTGCACTACAGTTCCTCAACAGTCTCAAGGAGCTGGTGTTTCCAGAAAACAACCAAAATGTCCACAGCTAGGTACTGTATAGTTAAAGAACATGGATTTCACACCACTGTATCTGGAATAAAAAAAAAACCCAAAACACAACCCTGCCACCCCGCAACTTCTAAAAACCATTGGGCAAACCAAAAAACTACAGAAAGCACAATTTTGCCCATCTCTTGCCCTTCTCAACAGGGAACTGACTATTCTGGTCTCAAATGTGTGGCAGACAAGGAGGGAACTAGGTCATGTCCCTTGCTGCATCCCCTGAGCCTTCAAGTTCCTCGCTGTGTTTTTTATACTATCGATCTGGTCTCCCCGGCTGTCTGCAACACAGTACCTGCCGGGCGCTCTGGGAAGGACAGCAGCCTGTAATAAAATCTGCCTTAAAATGAGATAAAGAGAACAGAAAAAGATACTGGCAGGGATCAAAGAGTTTGACCCTCAGAGGCTAAAAAGGGAGAGTACTGGCTGACTGTTTTCAGGCAAGGTCTGAGTGAGAAAGTGAAAAGGCTTGCTTTCTGCCTTACCTCAGCAAAGCACAGAGGAAAAGCTCTATTTCTCCCACTACACGACAAAATGATATGAGAATTTTGAGCTGGCAGGAGTTACAGGCCTGGGCCTTCAATGCTCTACCTTTATTACAGGACAAGCAGAAATTTAGTTCACTCCGCACAGCTCAGCCCACGTGGTTTTTTTGCATACAAGTATTTTAGCCTCATTTCCAGGGTTTAGGATTTAGAAATCCACTGCAACTTAAACCTCAGGGAGAAGGAGAGAGAAAATATTTACCCAAATCCTATTTTATCTTATAGTTCCCTCCTGTGCCTCCCCATCTGGCCCTTTGTGATGTTTTGCAGATGCACAAATAATATTGTCATGTGCCTTTGGGAAGAAGCAAAGGAGAAAACACTCCCAGAGACAGACTTGTACATATCAGTGTGACCTCTTAGCTCAGGGCTGTGTGCCTAAGTTAGTAAGCTGCTGTGAAACAAACTCAGGACCTTTTGTTGGCTGAACCTCTAGCCTGGGGCACAGGGGCTCCTGCCAGCTCAGGTGTTTAGGAAGGATGCTAACAGTGACATACTTCTGTACTTTAAAAGTCTGGGATGTTCTGACTTCTAAGTCTGTCAATTGTGGCACTAAAGTCAGGAACAGCACCAGCTCAGCAGCATCAATCCCGCTCCAGCTAACGGCCCTTTATAAAAAGACAACAGGCTCTATTCTTCTGGATGCATTGGTTTGCCTTGCTCATGCCTCGAAGCAACTCTCAGACAGCTTAATGCAGATCATTTTCCCTGAAGGAGAACTAACTAAATATTAACAGCCAGCACACGCGCCAGGGAGTCCATCCAACTCAGGAAACAGGAGCTTCTCTGTCTGCCTCTTTTTTTGTGACATGGCAAGAAAAGAGTCAGAGTCATCCCCCCACTCCCTGCAGTTCACTGGGTCACACAGATCATCCCAGCTAATAGGAAATGCAGGATCAAGAGAGCGGAAAGTTGTACCAAAAATGTGCAGAGAAGTACCTGGCACAGCAGAAGCCTGGAATTTCTCTATTTGTTATCCTTTAATATTTAATCAGGGCAAGTTACCATTCTTTTTTAAGCCAAAAATGAAAGGTGAAATGTAAACGTTTCACCACTCCACATCCATTTGTACTTAAAACCATTAAGCACCGAGTAACAAGCCAAAACAGATTAGAAAGGTGCAGGCTGCTAACTCCAATGCAGCTGCAAAATGCAAGAGTACCAACGAAGTAAGGGGGACAATGGACATTTTGTTTCAGTTAATTTCACAGACAAGTGAGAAACAGTTAATTAACAGTGAACATTAAAGACATTGAATTACTGCAGAGTATTTTAAAAAGCCTGTGGAAGACTGATGAGGAAAGAGTTGATGGAAACATTTAGTGCATATCTTTGGTGTCAGCAGAAAGAAAACATGTTGTTTTGTGCTTCCTTAATCTTTATTTCATTTTCTGGAGATAAGGATCTTCTCCCTTTTATTTCTTCACAACCAATGTGCACATATGTGCTCCCCCACCCATCACTAAGTCATGCAGAATAAGAGAAATCTTTCTTCAGAGTGGTCTCTGTCCTTGTCAAAACATGAATTTCCACACCCCTACAGGGATACAGAATGACTTGTTCCTGTACGCTTGCATGCGATGATTACTTCAGGTGTTAGGTTGCCGGTATCCATTTCTAATTCTTTCTAGCCATGCTGTTCATAAAACAGAACAGGATAACAAACAAACAGAACATTTACAGAGGCTTTTGCAATCAGATGATACAAAATGGGGTGGAAAATATGGGCCAGCCTCTGTGCCTGGAAAAATAAAAACCCAAACAGCATCTCCTCAACAATTGCTACCCCGCGGCAGTCTCGGCGATGTACTCACCGCGATCAGGATCTGGAAGGAGCTGTGCATGACCTCGATGTACCGATACTCCAGGGCACAGCCGATCACAGAGATGTAGGAATGACTATCCAGCCCTTTGATGCCAGACATTGAAGCCTCCTTCCTTACACAGCCAGGACCATTTTCACTCCACCATGATTGGTGCCGGGAGATGTTGAACGTCAAGAGTTCACTGTCCTGAAGAGAAAAGTTTCAAAGAGATCTCCATTTGCTGTAAGAATGTCTGATGGCGCTGTCAGAGGGAGGTCATATTAAATCAATGGAAAACCTAAAGTTTCTGAGATCCCCACCCTCAGTAAATCTTAGTACAGATCAAAATACATTTGCCTTATATTCCTTATTAAAAAGTATTTCACAGGCAGGCTTGTGTGGTGGGAACCATTTCTGAGGCAGTCCCACAGCACTCCAGCAAAGCTATTTCACCATCAAGTAGCACATTCCAGAAGCTGGTCTGAGGACCTTCTAAGGCAGAAAGACAGTTTCTAGGCTGCAGACCCAAGAACACTTTGCTAGCACTTCCTGCACCCAGAAAAGAACCCTCAAGTTTGGAGTTTGCAAGATTAACCTGGCAAATCTAGAAGACAAAGTTAAACAAGTCAGCACTAAGCATCCTGTCACAGGATCACGGGTTATGGGTATGTTCTTCCCAGCACAGAGAACTGAGAAATATGAACTTCATAACCCCAAAGTGAATTTCAAAACCCAAAAGACCTTCCTCTGTTCCTAGCTTTTAACACATCTAACAAGTTCTCTTACCATTTCTGTCTGATTTCCCTCCATGCTTTTCACCTATGGTATGTCTATGTCTTCTGTTGACCTTACACACTGCCAGCCCCGGGTCAGATTACCCAGCTGAGCTGACCTCAGGGTGATGATTGCAGCTTCTTGCAAACACTTCCCCAGCAATTCCTTATCATCTCTACCCCAACAGAGGCTTTTTGTTTTGCTCTTCTCCTCTTTGCTAGTTCAATAACGTAAACCATGTCCTCGTGGGGTTACACAGTAAAAAGCCCCACAAGCAATGCAGGAGTTCGGTATGCGGCTGGGAGCTCATTTAAAAATGACAACGCTTTCCTCACATTTGAGAAAAGAGTGGTACTCACTGCAGTACCCAGGAGAGCTCTGGGATTTTGAGCAAAACCCTCCCTGCAGACGATAAAAGACAAACTCGGAACTGGCTGAAGAGATCAGCCCCATCGCTTCACAGACAAGTGCTAAGTGCCGGGGGCCCCAGCAACCTCTCAGGTCACTTTGATGTGGAATCAACTCCTTTTGACCGCAAAACAGAGCAACGGGTTGGAAGTTTTATTCTGAAGGAGAGATTATAAAATGGATCAGGCAGAGAATCTGTATGTCTCTACAGGGCAGAAATAGGTACTGGATATACACCACCACCTAGCCGCTACTAGAAGTTTTAGCTCCTATCCTTATCCTACTTCACACTGCTCACGCCAGGGTCCTACACAGTCCCTGCAGGAAAGAAGCAGGCGAACAGCAGTAGATCTTGGGGTATTTACACTTCCTAACACGGGAAACCTCACGCAGCAGCTCCTTTGCCTTAGCTCCCTGTAGAGCCAAGAGAGAAAACCAGATTCAGAGCAGCTAATCCAGGCTCCTGCTCTGAATTACCCTCTGGAGAGAGGACTTGTCTCTGCTGCCAATAGAGGGAGGCTCGCCAGGTAGTCCTGGAGATATGCTTCTCTGTGTCTGTGTCCAGGGGCAAACAGGAGTTAACAAGGGCATAAAGTTTAAATGCCAGCCAGAAACCCTGTGAATAGAAACCAACTGCCCTGCTACGCGTATTGTGTAGGTACCCTCTCCTCCACCACAGATACTCCAAACCAGTTTGCAGAGCTGTTATTAAAATATGCTGCAGGAAGCACATGTTAAGAAATGTGGACAATTAAGTGAGAAGACAGCTGCCAAACGCCTGACATAATCACCACAACAGATGGGATGTGTTTTACAGTAGATGGAGGAGGGCACGGAGATGAAGTGCAAAAGCAGCCTGAATAGCAAAGACAATAGGGAAAACTCTATTAACAGTTGGGAGTTTGAAGGGAGCTGTCTGCATTTTAAAGGCTACAGGGAATAATTATAAGATTGGCAGCTACGGGATACCGCAGACAGTGCAAGGTGCTGTGCTATCTTCATTTCTAGAGACACTTTTCTCTTCCAGCTTCTCACAATTTTGGCACAAGAGTCTTTGGCTTGCTCCCTCTGCTGGGCATTGCTCTTCAGTGGCCCACAGACATGTCACATATCCAACAAATTGCATCTTTTCTGCAAAACTTGTTCTTTCTCTCCCAAGTTTGCATGTCCTGAGACACACAGATCTTCCCCAGCAAAAGCTTTTCCTCCTGGAAGCAGCCAGCCCTCCGAGCTCCTGTGCGCTTCTCCCCCTCACAAGCCACTCACCACAGTGGTTAGGGACAGAAAGAATCATTTCATGTTTCTCCAAAAAAGAGACCCAATTCCTGTTTCTTTGCCTGGGGCTTCCCCCAGTTAGCACAGAAACAAAGCTGTTCCACAGGGCACCACAGGATCTACTCTTAACCTCGGTCCCCAGGGCTTCCCTCTCCCAGCTCACAGATGGTGCCTTCCCAAACCTTCTGCCTCGCTGATGCAAAGAGCCCCTTCAGCGCCTGCTCTGCTCCTCACAGAGGCATCTCTGTGTATTTGGCAAAGCAAGAAACAGGCTGCTTTCCTTCTTGAGTCTCCCTTTTGTCAGTCCTCATAGAATTGGCTCTGGCTTAACTTTGCTGCAGAAGCTGAACTTGCTTGTGAATTAAGCCTGAAAAAGCAGAACAGGTGCTGGGCTGGAGGTAGGCAGGTGGAGGAACAGTAGGTCCTAAACAGAACTCACTGCTTTTTGCCTACAATCGCGCTCCAACTCTGCAAAAAAAAAAAAAATAAAAAAATCATACTCCAGTTAAGAACAGATTGGCAAAACTGAGCACATTTGGATTCTAAAAGCAGCACAAGGACTCACACTCATGAGCCATCCCTCAAACAGATGTAAAATGAATACTGATTGCACGCTGGGAGTGTGGATGCCCTCACGTTCACAGAGACACCTTTCTGAACAAGCATCCATCTGGAGCTCTGGGGGGCACAAGGACAGCGTGAACGAAAGGGTCTCAACATCCAAAGCAATGCTGTTCCTCTGCTTGCGTCCCTGGCTGGATGTCCTTGGGGGATACCTGAGCTGATGGGGCACAACAAAAGAGCATTGAAGAAAATCACTTAATTGTCCTCAGCACTTGCTGGGAGATTGGGAAAACAATCCCAAGATGTCTGCTGGGGTTTGCCAGCTTCACATGTGAGGAGGTGGTTGAAGAGAAGTAGAACTACATAATAGGAACAGCATGCTAAAATCAGGAGAAAAGAACCAGTTGCAAGCGAGTTTAGGGAACAGCTGTTTCCCAAAACCTTTCTGCAATGCGTTTGATATCTAAACACATTGAAATACTCCAAAAAGTGATATGCAGGTTGGAAGATGTTAATCGGCCCCAGAAGTGAGCAAGCCCTGCTGTAGTGCGAAAGCGATCTGTGTGTAACCACGCTCCCCCTGGTTTCGTGACAAGCTGCTGTTTGAAGGGCTATTGCTGCCTCTTTAACCTTCAGCCTCCACAGAAATACGAGTGCAGAGTGATATGAGCTCCTTCTCAGGAGCATGTTGAAGGCCAGCCAAAAAAAAAACCAAGCCAACAAAAACCACCAAATCACGTATCACTCAGAACTGTTGTAGCACCTGGTTGCCAACCATTTGCCATCAGTGTGAGAAAGATGACAACAGCACTAAAACTGTAGTACCTACACTTTACAGAGGCAATTTTCGTTTCCCAGCCTCACCCCGCGGTGTCCCACAGGGAAACTCACACCTACAGAGCCAGCGGTGTTCCTTTTCGCAAATAGTTTTCTAAAAGATGTTCTGAAATTATTTTTTAAGGGACACTATCAGAGATGGTTTTATTTCTTCTTGTTAACAGCTTTCTGAACTGCCTGCCCCCAAATTTTCTAAATTATCAGGCAAGCCAGCACTATGATGGCTCTGGAAACAAATTGAGCCCTGTATGGGAGCGCCCAGAGCTTGACAGCAGAATAACTTTAAATCTTTTCAGTTGGAAACGTTCCTTATCAAAATAGGAAATAAAATGTTTATCTTTTGGTCATGTGTGCTGACTAGCTGTCTCACCCTGAGACCACAGAGAAGCACATGCGTTGTCTCTCAGCAGGCTTGTTCACCGTGCCACAGCGTTTAAAGGCCAAACTCCAGTTTCTAAATTTAGATGGAGCCGAGGGAGAGTTGTAATTATACGTGCATTCATCCATCCTCCTCACGGTATTTTTCCAGGTACAAAGTCATCCCAAGATGCCGTGCAGATTCTCTGGAATACAAATAACCCCCCATCTGACTAATAAGGGGCTGCTTCCGTTTCAAGAGGAGATTTAGACCACCACCACAGCTCTGGATTCAGATCAAAGTACTGGGTAGACAAGAGAGAATATAAAGAAAGGGTAAAAAAAAAAAAGTTCCAAGTTGAATAATTCCAGGGGGGGAAATACAAAGGCATACATTAAAATACACAACAGCAATTCCTCAAACCTCTCTGAATGTTTCTCAAGTCCATGATAAAGAGTCAATCAGCATGGCAGCTGGACAGACAGATGCTCATATGTCTTACCAGCAGGATTTTAATAATTAACTCAGACTGGGAGGTTGCAGGAGGGACTGTTTCACACTCAAGTAGACAGGGAGAAGCTTAACATGTTATTTCAAGCACAGCCTCGAAACTTCAGAGACTGCTCCCAACAATCCACCTAACCAAATGGCCAGATGGACAAAGAGAGAAGAGGGAGATGGAACAGAAACAAACCAGAGGAGGAGGAGGAACAGCAATCTGGAGATTCAGCTGTCAGCCCCACTGCAGAGCAGCGGTACAGCACCTTCGGAGAGGCTGCATGTCCCCCAGATGCTGCAAGTGCGCTCCGAACTGTCAGTGGAGCAAGTCAGCAAGGCAACACTGCCAAAAGCCACCCGGAGGCACATCACCAGCTCGCCGCCAGTGCCGAGAGGCAACCCTTCAAATCCAGATTGCTGGATCTCTTGCCTGCTCATTGGCAAAGTGCTTCCAGGGAAGCTGGCATAGGCGACATGCTTAGGGAGGCCGTTGCAGCAACAAGGGAAGTGCTTCCTTAGACTCTTATGCTGATCCGTTTGTGTCTGGCCACCTAATGAAGTTCTGCTGTGCCACATTTCACACACTTATTCCTACTAAGAAAAGATTTCAAGATTAAAAAAAAAAGTTACAGGATAGAAATGTAGAAACCAGGCCAGTTCAGCTCTTCCAAGAAGTGCAGAATAGATTCACAGAGCAGGAAAGAGCATTTTCCTTTTGGAAAAAAAAAAGGAATTCAGGGTAGTTATAACCACTGGTTAGAAGGTAGACGGTTAGTGAGTAGTTATAGCTACCCTGAGCAGGGCTGGCCGGAACAGCCATTCTCGGGGTTTCTGTGGCCAGGAGAGAGCAAGCACTGCTGGAGGAAGAGCACTTTAGGAAACAATGGGAAAGACAGGAGGAAAAAGAGCATGAGAAGTGGTGGGCAGACAACCCAATGGAGGAAAGAGCCCGTGGAGAGGTGATTGCTTGGTGAAGGAAAGCGAATAGCCAGCCCCCAAATTGCAGTTCAACAGCCATGCACCCACCAGCCCATATTCTACTGGTGACACAGAGTTTATAACTAAGAGATAGTGTCTTAACCCCTTCACCAAATTGCTTATGGGCTGACATGGGACCTTACCTCACAGACCCCACGGCCGCGGTGGCCCTGGTTTCTGTTCTTTAGATCAGCTGGGCACAAGACGACGTGTCCGTGCTCGCTGCAGCCCTGTACTGCACAGCGCTTCCCTGCTCCCTCACCACCGTGAAATCAGATCTAAGCACCAGAGCACACAGAATTATCTGCAATAGGTGCACATAACCATTTCCTCCCCACCCCTGCCAGGATTTCCTAAACTTGTTACACCAGAAACACTTGGATCCTTTCCCCCCTTTTTCACCCCACCTGAGTTATCCCCTGCCTCAGCTGCACCGGGCTGTCATTACCAGCCACCAAGTTAACAAACTCCATTCTTTCTTGCTCACTGCCCTTTCTGCATTTTGTCATTACAAATTAGCTAGCTGCTGACGGACATCTCCCTGGCAGGCTGCCCTTGGCAGGAAGGGAGAGGGGCGAGCGTGGCGCCTGCTCTCCTGTTCCCCCAGCTCTCCCACAGGCTCACCGGGAATCACAGAGGAAACAGCACCTGAAGACCTTCCTCAGAGCTATCGGCCCCTTAAGGGACTTGCAGAGGAACAGCCCTGTCTCAAACACTCCCCAGCACATTCATGCTTGGTCTAGTAGTTACCGAGTCAGTGTTTACCTGACCAGCTCCATCAGCCTCACTCTACCAAAGCTCTTCTTCTAGTATTTGCAGTCTACCTGCTTTTACTGCCATACTAATTACAAGCTTTGACTTTGACTTCTTATTAGGAACTAAAGGACAGCTTCCTCCCGTGGCCCCTGAGGGCACACAGAGGTACCCGCTCCTCTGCAATGCCGCTGTAGACCCCCTGGCTGGTTCTGCCCTGCCCTTGCCCCCTCCAAGAGCCTGTCTGACACTTGCTCATCCGAGCCCAGGTGTCCTTCTGGGATCTGATCCCAAGACTGAGATCAGTAAGACTCAGCAGACGTCAACTGGCTTTAGATCAGGGTCCTAGAGCTGCAGTGGGAGAGCGATACTTCTTGAGTCCAGTCTGCAGAGCACCACACCGTCCTACGGAAACCTTCGCTCCTGTTTCAAATGCATCTTTTGTTCCCGCGTGGAAGGGAGGGTTTCTTTTGCTATTGCACAGACCCAAACAACTTCAGTTAAAGGGGAGAAGGCAGACAGAAAGCAGCATCATGAGTTTTCCTTACAAGACCACCTTTTCAGAGGAAATTAACTCATTAAGACCAGAGGCAAAGCTGTAAAGGATTTTACCGTCAAACGAGTGCAAGTACTCTGGTGTTTTTGCCAGTTGCCATCAAACCAATGGCATGAATTTCTCATTGCAGCTCGAGAGCCGATAACTTATAGCGCAGCCCAATTCTATAAGAAAAAAGTCCCCAATCACAAGTGTCACCCTGTGGGCTAAACAAAGGTTCTCCGTGTGCTGGCTTTGCTAAAATGAGCCACGGCACAGAGCAAGGTTACGAGATGAAGCTGCAGCTCCTCCGTAGCAGGGCAAGTGGGGTTCGCTGTGCTGTTGGAATTGCAGAACAGCAGTGCGATGTGTTGCAGGGTGGGTTGGGATTAGTAAACACCAGTAATCAGCTGGCTGGAAGCAAACACTGGCTGTCAGAGAAGCTCCCAGAGCAGTTCAGCAAGCCAGTATTTCCTCTGCAGAAGGGAGAGTTTAAATAGTTACATAAAATTCTTTTTTAGTTGGTCACAGCCAAAACCGAGATCATCTCAGGCTGAGCTCTCAGACCAGGAGCAATCACTCTTTTGGGCAAGAACTCTCTCACAGTTTCTGTGGATAATTGAGAGGGGAATAATTGAGGAATTAGGAAGTTACATTTTCTTATCTGCAAAGGATTTATGCTGTCACTCATGACTTGCTGTAGGCCTGATAACGAAAACATAGTGCAGTTCTAATTATGACTGCAACTTAGATGTATGACCCGGGACTTTAGGCCAGATGTAGAACGCTTCGAAATGAACCTGTATCCTATAATCGCTCAGAGTCTGCTAAGCCACAGCCACACTTAGTAATTCATTGCTACAGCTCAGGCTTAATTTAGGGCCTGCCTCTCGGTTTTATTATTTCTGACTCACCCCTCATTAAACAGACAGCAATACTTGGCTTATCTAGCCTTCAAAGAGCTTCGCGTATTAACCCACAATACCCCTGGCCGGGAGCCATGAATAACTACTGCTGTATTTAAGAAGGAAGAATTAAGGCAGGGAAGCCACATCACCTCTGAGGCCGTATCCAGAGGGGATGCGCCAGCCTCCCCACCATCATCCCTCCGGTTTGTTCTCTGTTTGGCAGAGAGAGGAGCCTCTCCTGAACGCTGCACTGGGACATATTTTGCCCGGTGCAGCAACAACCAGGTACCTACCCACTGTTGCTGAAGCGCACTAGGGCTTCAGTGGGACTGGGAGGCATGATGTCAAGATGTCAAGATGTCAAGAGCTGGTCAGGTATGGAGGTACAGCAAAGTCCTCCGTCCAAGCCAGACCGCGTCCTTGCTGCAGCTCTTCCCTGGGACCAGCTAGCAGAGGGAGCACGCTCGCTGCTGCATGAGGGCCTTCCCCTCCGAGCCACACACCTTCTTCTCAAGGTGTTATCAGATCTCAAGAGGATCCGCTGTAATCTAGTTAGCTCATAGCCTTCCTCAGCCACCTCTGCATCATGGCTGAGAATTAGCCCTCTCAAACCCCATCTCCCCTCAGGATGGCTCTGCTGCCAGGCTTGCTCTCACCTTTAAAAACCAAACTCCGAGGGCAGGGCTTATTCCAGCCGCCACCTGCACTGACCAGCAAAAGGCTCCAGAAATCAGGATTAGCCGCCCATTTCTACCATCCAACCAGCCGTACTCCTCCATCCCCTCTCCCCAGGCAAAAAGGTGAGATCTGCTCCCAGGCAGCGCCCTGCCACCCGTCTCAACCGCCCCCTCCCTCATCTCACAGCAAAGCTCCATCCCCTCTGATGCAAAGCCTGGGCACTCACCCAGAAAGCTCCCACTTACCTTTGAGAGTCCTCCCACTTCTAAGTAAAAGCAGATGATGAAGATGTTCCAGGTAACCCAAATTGGATGGGGGGTGGGGTGGGGGAGGAGAAAGGAGCAATAAACATTAGGAAGTCACTGGAATTAGTTTATATATATGTGATGCAGCTGGGGGCAGTTAAATGCCCTGAGTCTTCTCCTCTGTTTCTTTCCCACATGCAGATGGTCCCTTGCCTGATCAGAGGCACAGGGGCAGAAGTTTGGAGGGGGTGGAAGAGCCCCTGCCACACCTCTGTCCAGCATCTAGTTCTCCCTTTCTGTTGTATCTGATATCTTCCAAGTTTGGAGTAAGCACAGCAGAAGTGCAGCACACGGAACAACGTGTTCCTAAGCCCAGCACCTCCTGCCAAAATTGTTTACAATGCTCCTGCCTGATTTCCCAAGGGCTTTCCTCGGTTCCTCATCACTTGCCACATCCCACCAGAGCAAAGGCTGCAAAAGGCTTCGAATGGCTCTGAACAACACGGATGTTACTTACCACCACTATGTAGCGAGGTCTATATTGAATAGTGCCAAAGAGGCCGAGGATGACGATGATGATGTGGAGGAAGTTGGCGAGAATAGGGGCCCACTGGTATCCCAGGAAATCGAACACTTGCCTCTCTAACGCAGCAAGCTGGAAGGGAGAAGGGAAAGGAGAGTTACAGCTTCTGGGCTCATGATGTTTATTCTCAAGGTTTTGAGAAGCTCCCCCAGCAAATCACTGCAGCAGCTGAAGATGTGACTCCATTCCCAAAGCAATTTACTGCAACACCTTTTTTCCTTCTCGGCAGCTCTGAAGTGCAAAAACAGCACCGCCAACTTCCACTTTGTACTCATCTCCTCCGATGGCTGAGTGCACACAGACCAGTGAGCTCCAGTGCCTGCGGGGGGAGGCATGTCCTCTGTTCTGTGCACTTTGCAGTGGGGAGGTGGCCCTGGCAGAGGGCAGAGGAGAGCGGCAGGGCGGTAACACCTCAAATGGCTGCAGCAGGACTTTCAAGAGCTCATTTGTCAGAGCCTTCAGCAGCCCTCCATCATTCCTGACACCTCTCATGTTTCTGCTCTCCAGCACACATCCATCAAAGTGAAAGAGAAGAGGAAACTCTCTCCTGTACCTTAACCCCGTAGAAAATGCTGCCACCCAGCAAAGAAATTCTGCAAACACATCGGTTTTCCAGGCGGACAGGCTGTGTTCCTCTCCCGCACTAATAACACGGTTCAAGGCTAGTACTACGTTCTCGAAATAAAACTCCATTACTGCTGAAGAGCTGGGCCTGCTTTTCCAATCATATTTGCATAAAGATGAGCTTTTCATCTGTAGCCATCATCTGTGTATCAGGCAACCACTGGTAACCTGGATCTGAACGCCTGAGTTACACATACGGCTGAAAGAGCACAGTGAAGATGCAGTTGCATGCTGGCTTTGACATCCCCACAGCCCTTAAGTATTATGTCTATAGGTGAAACAGTGAGCGGAGGGGACAAAATGCTTGCTGCGGGTTTTTCCCCAGCACCCGGCCTTGCGCAGAGAGATCTTCTCTTTGCTGGTCTTCGCTAACGCAGTGCAACCAACCTCCTCCCATCGACCAGCGACTTTGCTAGCGCTAAAGCACCGCAGGAGATTTCCCTCTGGCGGTAAGATTTCCAAGTCTGTTTAATTATCGTAGCAGTATGCTGGGATTGCATTGTTGCGTTTTGTATTTATTTTCATTTAGATAAATAATTACGATTTACCATTGATAGTTAATATTAGTTTAACTACTAATTAGACATTAAGATCTTAGTCTACTGTGTGTAGTCAGCTGTGCGACACCTTCTCCTGGCTTGACTTTTAGGTGGCAGCTGGGGACCAAGCACTGGAGCATCTGTGATGGCTTAAAGCATTTCAGGATGTGAGCGGTTGCAGGTCCCAGTCACCCGCTCGATGAGGGAAGCCACATTTAGCAAATGAACATTTTTCTTCCTTCTTCCTGCAATTCTCAACGCTACCTTGGAAATTCAGCAAAAATCCGTATTTCAAAGAAATCCCTGGCTAAGGGAGATCAACCAGCATGGTGGTTAAGCAGCTTTCCCTCGCTGACATCTCTCCTCACTGGCAAAGGGGCACAGAGAGAGTCAGGAGGGAATAGAGGCAGTCTCCAAACTGTCTCTTTTGAAACCAATTAGTCTTCCCTTTGAGGCAAAGCACTCTGCCCCATTCTGATCAATGTGAACCTCCTGGGAGATGCTGGGAGATGTGCCCCACGGCCACGCGTGGGGCTGCAGGGCTGGAACGGGGCAAGTGCTGCTCATTTCACCGTTCAGGCTGCTCTCCCCCCTGAGCGCAGGAGATTTACCGTATCTCATGAGAAACAGCAGTAATAGGTTAAATGCTTAATCTTTTAGGACGGGATTAACGCACATACCTTAACGATATTTGGAAATTTTGAATCCTGACTGGCTGGCAATGGGTCACTTGACTGTGACCACTTCATCCAATCAGGCATTTAATTGGCTTTGTGCGTTACATTAACGCGGGAGTATGTGTGGCACAGAGCATCAATTAGCCAAGGGGACACAACGGGGGTGTGTTGCGCAGAGATAACGCCCTGCTCAGCTTCGCCTCTTGCCTTCAGACCCTGAAAAGGGGCATAAAGGCAGATCCTTCCTACCCATGCCTTCTGCCATGAGTTTTCCCACTCCAGAATCAGGGAATCCATGTCCGAAAAAGTGTTTTCTTCTCACAAATGAACATTTGCCATTAGGGCTGCATAAAAGGGGAAAGAAAGCTTGTCCTTCCACAGCTTCGTGATGTTTCCTGGCTTGTTTGGACCAGGGAAAACATTGGTCTGTGAAGTGGGAGGTACCCAACTGTCCTGGAGACGGATCTGCCAATCTGCACTGACTTCAGATTGGTGCAGAGCTCTTAGAGAGTCTCTGGTCCCTGACCACACTGGGTCTTTCCCCATGATCCCAGAATCCCACAATGGTAGGGGTTGGAAGGGACCATCGTACTTCCCTCTTCCTTACTGCACTTGCCCTTGTCTCCAGGTTGTTTCTCTTCTGATTTACATTCCTTTGGCACTTTCTCTGCGGGTTTTTTTATGGTTTTGTGTCCCTGGGAGCTGCAGGCTGCAGCTGGTACGGAGATCGGCTGTGCCTGTCTGCTGGTTCAGCTCAGGGAATCATGAGCTGGGTCAGTACGCTTCTGTGTGATGTGCCAGCTCAGGCAAACTGTTTCGTCATTTATAAAAATAAAAGCAATTTTCCGTAAGATGCGTGTTGATGACCAGTGCAAATGCTACTGATGAGAGTCTAACACCGTATCACCAACGCGCACTGTGCTGCAATCCAGCCATCAGAAAGGCAGCCTGAAGTTACCTTGGGCTTGTCCGTGTTCCCCCGGGAACCTAGCATAATTAAGGAAATAATTGCTAAAAACAAATAGATAAACAAGCATTTCACTCATTGCACTACAGGTCTGCGTGCAAAGCTTACCCCTTAAATGCTGCTGAGATTTGCAGGTAAATGGGGCTGATGCTAGTGCCAAGCTGGCCCCGATTTGGGGTTGGGATGTGAAGAATGTGGTGGGACCCTTCAGCCCCGGTTCCTTCAGTCAGGCTCAGAAACGGCAGGGTCGGGGTTTGCCCCTGCCTACGCGTCCTGAGATATCTGCACCCTCGTACTGAACCTCTCCTGCATCCCTCGTGTTGAGCAAAGGAAATGCCATCTCTCTCTGCTGCTGCCAAGTTTCTGCAGAGTAATATCCTTGCTGTAGCGTTCTTTATGATGATTCACTGCATTCTATTGAGAAAGCCTATTATATTCTAGAGATATTGGTTGTAAAGAGAAATTTCGCAGATTGTGGCACAGGTTTCAACCCATTCAAAGCTGACAGAACCTTTCCATCAGGGAGGACAAATTTTTCTTCTTTATGACTATTCTTATTAAAACCAGGATTCCTTCTGCTCCTTTTGCTTCTCTAGCCCATAGCACATTTTTACCTTTCATTCTTTAAATTAAATGATTTGTTGCGGTACTAAAATCAGAATAGTTGTGGCAGACTTTTCTCTCCTGAGATAAACCACATTTCTGCTGATCTGAGTGAAACTGGAATAGCAAATAACCACGTGAAGCAATTGTTAGCCAGGCAAACAAAACAAGCCAAAGCTCTCTGTTGGGCCATCGTTCATTTATACAGCCGGGAAAGATAAAAAAGGCAGAGAAGATGTTCTGCAGCTTACAGAGGGGCCTACCACATAGCTCACACCCAGTGAGCAGAGAAAGGCTTCGTAAGCCAACACGCCGGGACACACTCAAGGTCTTTACACTATTAAAACTTCACCAGAGAGGGAAGGCGTGCCCGAGCTGGAGGGGAGCGTTGCCTGATGGACCCCACTGCAGAATAGGAAAATGGTCTTAGAAAACATCTCAAAATATGGAAGAGTTTCTTGCTGGGGGGTTCAAACCATTCCAGTTGCGTTTCCGATGGCTCTGGCGGGACAGTGCACTGGCAGATGTCGATGCCAGCGGGACACTCTGAGCTGATTCAACATGGGCTGGGGGGTGCTTGCTTAAATTCTGGTCCCTCAAATCTTTCCTATCCCCTCATCTTTGTCTTCTGCTGCTCCTGTCATGCTGATTAGCTGGAGACTTCAACCCGTTCCCCTTGTGCCTCCATACGGCTAAAGCAGAAGGGACGCCGATGAACAAGCCAGTTACCTGTCATTCTTTAACTCCCCGTCCTTTAGAGCCCACTATCAAGGCCATGTTATCAGCTAGATTTGCTCTTCTTAGTTTGTTAAGCTTTTAAAGCCGTTAATCTTATTTGGTTTGGATCTGTGTCTTTCACTGCATTTCTGAAATCGGTTGGGACACAAAATAACAAATATCACTTTCAAGATGTTGACAGGACTGGTACAGGCGCAGGGGAGATGCTCAGAAAGCCCAATGACAGGTACAGATATGCAAAGAGGATGTCCTGCCTGCACAGCGCCCCCCCATCTGTATCCGTTCCTGCAAGCACACCTGCTTTTACACTTTCCAAGTTCAGTTTTGATAAGAGATTGCTTTTTAAAATTAAATGTTAGAAATAAATTTACAAGCACGCAACAAATGGAGCAAACGAGAAAGGCTGATCCTATTGCTATGGGCCAGCCAGGAATTGAGGGAGATACTCCTGCAAAAAAAAAAAAAAAAGAAGAAAAACTACTTTACCCAGAAACATAGACAGTTTTCCACTTGGCCTATAAAAAAAACAACTTGCAAATTCTTCTGCTTTTCCTTGTCTTTCACTGCTTAAGGACACAGAGCCTCACAGGCTGCTCCGGCTCCTGCCCTGCCCTTGTTCAGCGGTGTACACAGCTGCCTTTGACTTCTGCCTGCCTCTCTGCGGCTTCAGCACAGACACAATTTGCAACTTAAACCCTTATATTTACTTTCTCTCTAGCCTGAACTGCGGAGGAGCCTCAGCTGCAGCCCTCGGTCCCCACCACGCTCCCGGGATGTTCAGGGCTGCCCGGCTGATTCCCGACGCGTTGATTCAGCGTTTGATTTCCTGCCAACTGGCTTTGCTTTTGAAGAAGACGCTCTTTGTTTGTCTGCTGTGCAAACACCATCGGGGCTGCCAAGACTTTCACTGAAAAAAGGTCACGG